CTGTGAACGCGAATATAGTAAAAAAATACTACGCATAAAAGAGACCTGCTAGGTTGACTGGCCTAGGAAAAAATAAGGGCATCCCAGCGAGCCAAAAGGGTTCGGGCAAAACCTGAAAGGGAGGCTTGGGAATAAAAGGATATCCCAGTGGACTGAGTACCCGAAAAGACAGTCCAGGTAAAAGTTAAGGATTAAAGCGTACGACTATGTCCCGTTGGATCACCCATCTACTTACAACCATCATAATTACTGACATCAAGTTAAAAGGGTACAAATCCGGGGAAATAGCAGAGTTGAAACTCGATGGGATCATTTCCACATAATTGTTTTTCTTTGTTTCTCTATGTACACCTTTTCTTTTACGACGATTTCCTCTTACTAAGATTTATGTCTCTTTGTAGAAAATTGTCTGTTTATAGGAAAATCTTTTAAAATCAGCGTAATCAGTTTCAAATTTAAAAACTATTTTTACTTTCTCTATTTTCTTTGTAATAACGTCCAATGATTATATTGAATGAACATGTGCATTTGAATATGATTACCGTTTACAAATATATGCATGAAAACAAGATTAGCATTGACGAGGGACTCTAAGAGTTGGGATAACATTCAAAGTTGACCATAAAATCCCACGGAGCAATTTTCACAAGTTATTCCTCATCAAAGTTTATCTCCTCAACAGTCTATAGGGTTTATTTCCCCCAACGAAGTTTATTTCTCCAGTATAGTTATTCCTCGACCAGATTCTCCTCTCGGACCAGACGTCACTCAATGTTGTCCTCCCTAAAAGAGTCTATATTCATATCCAGAACCCGGTCAAACAACACATCAGAGAATTTCAGTTATTTCATCTCCAGTCAGAATAAAAATCTTACAAAGAACACTACAAAAAAGAAGCTTATTTGCCACGTGAAAATCACGTGGCAAACATCAAAATCACGTGGCAAAACAAAATTAGCAACGTGGAGACTTATGTCGCTGGGGAGCCAGTGGCAAGCCAGTAGCGACGTGATTCCCACGTCACAAAGTTGTGACGTGGTATTCACGTCGCAACAGCTTTGTTGTAGAGAATATAATATCTGACAAAGCAGCTTTAGTTGCGACGTGAGAATCATGTCACTAATTTGTGACATGATTCCCACGTCGCTACAGGTGACGTTTTTATTTTTTAAAAAATTGTTTAGTAATTATTTTTTTATATTAATTAATTAATGTAATAAAATTTAAATAATAAAATTTATATAATAAAATTTAAATAATAAAATTTATATAATAAAATTTATATAATAAAATTTATATAATAAAATTTATATAATAAAATTTATATAATAAAATTTATATAATAAAATTTATATATTAAAATTATTAGAATAATAGTATTTTATTTTATATTTCGAATAATAGAATTTTATAAAATAAAGTCATATAATAAAATGTTATATAATTTAATAATTTAAAATGATAAAAATAAATATCTTACATAAATGCAAATATAAAAACGAAATAAATAAAATGTTTTCACGGGGCATCTTCACCCGGATAATTATCAAGATCAAAGTCATCAATTCCGTCATCATCCGGCTGTGTATGATCAGGAACATTTTGATTTCCACCGCCTTGCATAAACCGTCTCATCTGCTCCTCCATATCAGATTTCCTCTTCCGCATGATCTCTAACTGCTGCTCCTGCTCTTGCCTCATTGTCGTCATTTGGGCCTCCATTTCGCGCCTCACTTCACTTGCCGCCAATTGTCTTACTGTTTCAAGTTGAACCTGTGTCAGATTCGGTTGACGTGACCCCCCTTCTCCATCTCTAAGTCGCTGAAACAGATTACGGTCACCAACTCTCAAGCCGGCGGCCAAATTTCCTCCCGCAAAAAAGCAACCATTAGGCCCTTTTCCATTAACAACCTCATACCAAATATAGAAATCAACATCACCATTAAGCGGCTCCCCTTCTGCTAGCCTATATTGCGGATTATGTTCCAGAAAACGTGCTAGCAATGTCTGATAATCATCCTACACATACATTAAATAATACAATTAAAAAAAATCAACTTATGAATTGTCACGTGATTTTCCCGTGGCAATGTATCAGTTGCCACATGAAAATCAGTCACCTGGCAATTTATCAGTTGCCACATGATAATCACGCCACAACTTATAGATTGCCACGTGAAAATAACGTCACTATTTTTGTTATTAACTTAAAAAAAAAACATAAGTTAAATTACTTACAAAAGCTCTCTTGGTGCGGTCGTCGACAAAACCTCCCGATTTCAACCATGGGCATCATGTGGCTCAATTTTTCTTGTATGGGAAAGCCCCAATTTTGAAATTGAAGAACCCTAAAAAATGGTAATGGCAATTCACAATCCTGTGCATTATAATCCAATTGATCAATACCAATAGCTTTGTATGGATGCAAGCAATATAAAACAAACCATAAATTACATCAAATGCTCATGAATCGTGAGTTTCAATTCTGAAAAAAGTGGACAAACCGTGATTCTATTTGGTGCAATTTCTCGAGCATCAGCCCTTGATTTTGATTCCAAAAGATTCCTGAGAGTTCCTGCAAATTGTTAGAAAAAAGAAAAGGCTTTGAATCACGTTGGAAGGTGGAATTCAGTTTTTTTCTTTACTTTTTTCCAATATTGCATATGGATTTTTTTGCAGAAATCTCACGTTCCAGGCATTAGGGTTGGCTTCAGTACATATAATGGAATGAAACTAGGGTAAATCTTGCACATGAAATCCCTTGCATGGATGTTTCAATATTTGATTGAAAATCAAATATTTTTCAATCTTTTTGATTGAGAAAACTTGCCAAACATGGAGATTTTGATGTCCTTGATTGATACACGAATTTTCCAGCTTGCCCTGAGTTTGTTTGCTTCACAAAAGATTTGAAAAAACATATCTTTGAATTTCCTACATTTTAAATTAATTAAAATAATTAAAATCAATTAAAAATCCAATTAATTAATAAAAAATAAGAAAATAATTTCAAATAATCTCAATGGGTCGTGCATAAGCCTTGGAAAATGATTCAAGAAGGAATTTGAGGCCCATTAGCAAAAATGATGTGTTTTGAGCAAAGTTAACTTTTGCAAATTCACAAAAATTTCCCAACTTCTCCAATGCATATCTTGCTCAATTTTGATCATATGAACATGTCCTCGGACATTTTGGAAAGTTCTTGAAGTCCTCTAACAAATGCCTTTGGTCCCATGTCATTTGGATTTACCAATCTCAAGTTATGGTCTTTGACTTAAAATGCCTTTTTGTTGACTTTTGAAATTGACCTATAATGTAGAAATTGATAACGTTTTGTGAGAGCATTTCTTGGACTTGGAATGTGAAGATGAGTTATAGGAAATGTCATCCCCTTCAAAATGAGCATTAGATGGGATTTTTCTGATGAAACATGAAAACGTTATGCCCTGGTCAAGTTACAGTTGACTTTTCAGCTGTCCAAAAATAGTAACTTTTGCATCTTGATGATTTTTGAGCCATGCTTGTGGAATCATGATCAAGACTTGATCAAATGATGATTGTGAGCTCAAAATGAGATGTTGACAAAAAATTCTGACTTTTGACTGTGAAATGACCATTTTACCCCTGTAGTTGATTGTGAACCAAATAGGGCTTTTGACTGTGCAAACTGACATTATGAGACTTGAGACTTGACATGTAGATTCTTGACAATGTATATGAGCACATGAGACTTGATTGAGCCATTGAAAATCCCAAATTTATTGAAGGAACCAAAACCCTAATTTTGACTGGCTTAGGAGGTGGTTTGACTGTGCAACCTTTGAGTAGTCTTGAGCCATTTGAGAATGATTCTTGACAAACCTTGAAGAATATGGGAGGGCAAATTTTGGGGTACAACAGGGGGAATTTAAATTTTTCTATTATGCATATATTACATGAAATTATTCCTAATATCTTTTGGTGAATTTTTACTAAAATTAGAAACACCAAAGAAAAGAACTCAAGTGAAAGCTACAGTGAATAGAGAAAGAATTCAAAAGGTTGATGGAAAATTGGACAACCACATTGCTATGAAGAAAGCAGAGAGACCTAAGCTTTTGCAACCACAAGCTAAGGAAGTCAAGAAGCTTTAGGACATGTAGTGAGGAGGTTCCACCTTACTTTGTTCTTGGTGATTTGTGGGAATCATTCAGGGAGTGGAGTGCTTACGGTGCTGGAGTGCCACTTGTACTTAATGACAAAGATAATGTTGTTCAATATTATGTTCCTTATCTTTCCGGGATTCAAATTTATGCCCATACTGTCAAGCCACCTGTGAAGTCAAGGTATATTGCTTGCTTTGGTGGAAGATTGATTTTGGTGAACATTCATTCTAAGGGGCAACCCATAATACCTTATTAATATATTATTGTTTTCTTCAGTCATAGGAAACTAGGCGATGACAGTGACAGTGATTTCAGGGACTCAAGTAGTGATGGTAGCAGTGATTATGAACCTGCTAGAGGATATAGGGAACAAAGGAATCTTCCCCATCTCTCGGATGACTTATCTAATTGGATGGGTAGATTATCTGTGAGAAATCAGCATACTCTCCTGCAAGATGGCTTTTCTAGTGATGATGGTGAATTTATCAATTCTCAGGGCTACTTGCTATTCGAGTATTTTGAACGGGACACTCCTTATGGCCGTGAACCTTTGGCTGATAAGGTGTGATAACTTGCTGACTCTACATTGCCAAATCCATGGAAGTTTGTTATTTCCATAAGTTTGTTTAGCTTTTGATTAATCCTCTTTTTTTTTGTTGGATAGATGATGGACCTTGCTTTTCGTTTCCCTCAACTGCTGACACTTAGAAGTTGTGATATACTATCATCAAGTTGGATATCTGTAGCATGATATTCTTCTTTAATTATGTACTTCGACATTCTACTTATGCATATGCACATGGGACTGACCTGGTTCTATGTTTGGTTTGTAGGTATCCTATATATAGAATCCCAATGGGTCAAACATTAAAAGATCTCGATGCGTGCTTTCTGACATACCATTCTCTTTCTACACCTCTGGGAGGTAGGATGAATTTTCCTTCATTTTAGTTGTTGGATTTTGCTTTATAACATATTTGAGAAAGTGATGATAACTGAGCAGTCTATTACTTTACATGAGTTTTTATTTTTATTTAAATGAATGAATTTTCTACTTCGATTGGCATTTTGTATTAGGCTTTTAGTGTTAACGCGTTAAATGGATAAACAACTTAATTAAATGATTGTAGCTTAAACACTTGTATAGGCTAGCTCGACTACAATTAGGTTTTTTGATGCTAAGTGACTGTCACAATGTGTCATGTTTGTTTTACACATTTTCAAAAGTTTTGTAAAACGTGATGATTTTGCTTGACTGTTAAAATTATGAAAATCAGAATTTCATTTTCCAATTCCTGGTGTTGATTGTTCGTCCTCATCTACCACAGACTTGTGTTGTGTTCAATCATGGCTAATGTTTCTATATAAGCTTACATTGCCAGCTATAAGTGCTTAATTTATATCCATGGTTTAATCATTGCAAGATGTTACAGATGTGTGTGATGATAACCAGTTGTCCAATTCGTATTTCGCTTCAGTTGCTTTAATGGAACAAATATTATTCTCCTATTCAGGTTTACAAAGAGTGCAGCCTCCTGTACCATCACATCCAACCGAGATGGATGGTGTCCCAAAAATATCTTTACCTGTTTTTGGTCTTGCCTCATACAAGTTCAAGGGACCCATGTGGACTCAAAGTGGTGGATACGAGCGCCAATTATCCAACTCTCTTTTACAGAATGCTGATAAATGGTTACGACTGCTTCAGGTCAGTCACCCAGATTTCCTGTTTTTCAGCCGTTGATTGCGTGAACGCGGTTCACGCATGTAACCCTTAAGAATTGGTCCTGCTGTTTTCCAATCCCTCCTCTGGCCCAATTCTTAGATGTTGTACTTTATGAAATCGGAATTAATCACCTTTTTGACGAGAAGGAAAAAAAAGAAAAGGTATAAAAGATGTTAAGAGTCTCCTTTGTAACTTTCTGCTGTAATATGCAAAAGAATCAGAGAGTAAAAGTCGAAATAAAAGAAGCAAAGTTCTAGACAAGTAGCGGTTTGTAATGTGTTGATGGTGGATGTACAAATTTAAGAGATGCTTCACGAGTGGTGGCTGATGTTTGTTGTGAGGTTGTTTTGTTTTGCTAACATCGACGTTACACCAATTGGTCAGGAATGCCAGATGATAATAAAAACTGTTTCTGGAGATATACTAATGTATGTTTTTATCTATGAATTTGAAAGTCTAATTATTAAAAAAAAGTGTTTCATTTCTTGGTAAGATTATGGGACCCCCTTGTTTGATAACACTCACTATGTATGCTGTAAATTTATCCATATGATATTGAACACCAAAGAAGATACAACAAGTAAGAGTGTTCATCAGAGTTCATTTACTCCAAAAAATAAACATAAAAGGATAGCACAAGTTATACATACATACATACATACAGTTAAAGGCTATTGTAAGTCCTGAATAGTGAGCCAAAAACAGAATGGTTTTCATAATTGATTTATTTGCTAGTAAGCTCATGTCACCTATTACAGTTTAGAACGAAAATTCACATCCATTAAAAACCTTCATAATTAATTCACATCCATGAGATGTGAAGAATATAAACAATGTGTTTTGCTCATTGGTTTAGTTTTTATTTGTGCGAGGTTTAATTCTTGTTGATGTCTTAATTGTCCTTTGGACCAAAAATACTTATGGTTAATGTGTTTTATTTTATTTTCTTATGCAGCAATGTATCAATGAAGATGTTGAAAAGGACAATATAAATGATGAAATTCAAGAGGACGACATAAATGATAAAATTCAAGAGGACGACCTAAATGATAAAATTCAAGAGGACGACGTAGATGACGAATTTCAAGAGGACGACATAGATCTAGATGATGAATTTCAAGAGGAGGATATAGATGGTGAATTTCAAGAGGACGACGTAGATGAAAAATTTATGGAGGATGACATATCTAACGAATTTCAAGAGGACGATCTGGATGCTTTACTCCTAGAAGACAAACTTGAATGAGTTGGATGATGTCTTTTTTTTGGCTTGTAGTTGAAAGCATTAAACTTGAAATATGATTTTTGTTCTTTTGCTGAACTATATTTTTAGTTATTTTACTAGGGTCATACTTCAAAGTATTAAAAGTAATATTGTTACGTTGGGCATTTTGTGTACTCTATATACTATATCTTGAATTAAAGTTTGAACTCGATTTTATTATATTACAACTTTTATGGATGTATGGTTTAAGTTATATAATCAATATTATTTTTGAAGCCAATTATTATTGACTATATTATTTTGATAATAATTGCAAAATTGTATATTTTATGTGGACACTATAAAACAACAACCTATAAGTTATGGCTACACTTCAAAAACGATCTTCCTGATTCAGGTTTAAGGCAACGATTGTTAATTGTAGCCGAATTTGGCAACGTAACGCTTAAAAAACGTTGTCTTAGAGGCCGTAAATAATCGTCCCCTATTCCTTTACTATAGGCGACGTTTTTCAAAAGCGTTCCCAAAAAACATAAAAAAACGTCGCCTCAAACAATAGGCAACGCTCGCACAGGAGACGCCTAGAAAACGTCCCCTATTGTTTTAGGCAACGATTTTCAGAGTTCTGGCAACGTTTTTCAATTATTACTGGAGAGCCTAAATAGTGCATCAAAGTCTAAAGACCAAGTTATTGAAAAAAAAATTTATTTTCAACATTTATATACTTTATTGGAGTTTGTCTTCAAAGCTGAGAAAAAGAAAAATCACTAATACCTAACATTCAGTGTATCTGAAGTTAGGTGCAATCAAAGAAGTCAAAGGATTACAAATGCTAACATAACTAGTTATGACCAACTCAACTATTGTAAATCATTAGAAACGTAGGAACCGAAGGCTGTAGACTTTGCTAAAACCAAACTGCAAACATATCCTTAGTGCCTTTCTGATTAATAATTTTATGGACTAAATAAAAGTGTCTTCGTTTTCAAAGCCATCAATAAGAACAAAATTCAACAACAGTAACAACACAAAAAACCCAACTAGCAAATTGAAGTCAAAACTCAAATAAATCCAAAATTCAGATTCCTAACATCCCACTTATCTCTCTTGACAAAAAAGCAGTAGAAAATCCATTAAAATTAAACTTAGCCAATTCAAGAGACTATAAATGGATAAGTGAACATAAAGCTATCTTGTTCAAGGTTGAACTTCACCCATTTCCAAACAAATTCTAAATTTACGAAACAAGCGAATTCAAGCAAACTTCACTGACTAAAAGAAGCAAACTTTCATTAAACTTTATAAATACCTTTAAAAAAGAAAGCCCCGTTAAGTAACGTTTGAATGTGACAATAGTAACAACACAAAAATGCCTCTACAAATTGAAATTAAACCTATGTCTTTGGGCTTTTTTCTCTTAACTAGTTTTATTTTTAAATATAAAATTTCTTTTTAAATAAGATTATTTGATTTAAATGTTTATCCGCAAAAACATGTTAGGCATGTCCTATCTTTTTATGTTTTTAAATCAAGTGGAAATCATATGATTTAAAATGTCTGATTTAAAAAGTGTTTTTTTTACTAGTGTTCCCACTGAAACACAATATGCAAGGCCACAATGCAAGTTAAGTTGAAATATTTCTAAAAACATAATTTTCAGTTAAACACGACACACTTGTAAAAAAAACATGCACCACAAAACCTTGAAACAGAATATACATCTTTTTTTTTTATCTTTTCTTTTCTCTTCTATGATATTCTAGTCTCTTCTTAGATCTCCTCTCATCATGTGGCCATGAAAAGGCTGTTGGTTATTATAGTAGCTTGCGTCGATTAGAACCGCTGCAAAATTGATATTGCGATAGTTTCTCAACCGTCCTTAAACTTGACGTTGAAAGCACTGTTTGCGACGGTTTCAAATACTATAATGCGTACCACCACTAGTTACATTACGGCGGTTGCAACTGTCTAAAAATTTTAAGTACATTTTTAAATAAATCTTTATGTCGCAACAGTTTTATAAACAAATTAGGGAGATTTGTAAACCCCGTTAATAATTTTTTCGTAAAATTTAAACAAAACTACTATTATTTTGTAAAAACATTTGAATTTGTTAAATTTTTTTGAGAAAGGCATTTTATTTTAAAAAATATAAGTTGAAGAATTACATAAATATATATATCAAAATTTACATATCTTTTATTTAATTAAAAATTAAAATATTTGTGAAAAAACTATAATTTGCAGCAAAATCCTGGAGGTTTCCTGTGGAATAAAGGAGTTCTATTGAACATTTGAATTCCACAGCAAAATCCGCAGGAAAGTTTCCTACGGAATTTTTAATGTATAGTGGTGTTTTAGTGAACAATTGAAATCCGTTCGCAGGTATACTTTAATAAAGTTGTAGAAAAAACTGCAAGTATTCCTTCAGAAATATTTTTGCAGCTAAATCCGCAGGAAATTCCAATATTTCTAGTAATGGTGGAACTATATGTGAATTTAGAAGGAGAAAAATATCATGTCATAAAAATTAGATTATATCATATCTATAATAGAAAGATGAGTGATACAATGTTAAACTATTAAAAGTAAGAAATAATTGGAAAAATAAACTTAAATTATAATGTAAATAAGTTTCTTTTGCATAGTTATGTTCAAATTATACCATATTCGACTGATTTTGTTTGACGTAATATTAATGAGATCATTGAGAAAGATATGAGTTTAATGGACATTAAAATTAGTACATGTGAGATGTAGGTTGATGCTTCGTTAAGCTTAAATATTTGTCTTCCACATATAATATATTCTGATGCATATGATCCAAGGGCAAAAGAAAGCTGCACAAAATCCATAGTTAAAGATAATAAAAAAAAAGAAGAAAGATTTTGAATCCAATTCCCTTATCCATCCTTTAATGAAGTGCTTATCATCTTTATTTTGGTGATTTAAGAATCACTCAGTTAAATGGCAAAGTTAACTATTGGTTCAACAACTTCAAAATCCTGACTCCTAGTTGCTGGATTTTTTTATTCTTTTATTATTATTATTGGACAGTAAAATCAGAACATAAACTCTAGGCAAGTTCTATTCACGGGATTGGTACATAGCTTACTTCCTCGGGTGAGGTATCTCCAATATTCTCAAATGGCTTATTAAACTATTGAGAGAAAAGAAAACAAAAGAAGAAAAAAGACAGGCAACAAGAAGTTAAGTAGTGTCCATAGTTATTCAATATTGTTCTGCATATAAAAAGAAAACAAAATAAGATAAAAGACAAAACATGCAATGGTGTTCCAGTTAACAACAATATGTGAGAGCTTCGGTAGTATTTCAAGTCAGCATTCTACTAGCAAGAGATGTTGTTAATACGGTTTACACATATCACAGGGAGTAATAGACACTAATGTACATAAGGTACAATACCAATGGAAACCAAATAAACATTATGGTGAAGATTAAAGAAAATTCTCTTGAATTCCATCAATGTCTCAAACACTTCTTCAGGTTTATTTCCAGAAAATACATCTGCTACTAAATACAATAAATAATACACAATTTTTAAAACAAAAAATGTACAAAAAAAATTTCAACCCTAATGTGATACCATACCTAAGCATACTTTTTTTCCCCTTTAATTCAAACACAGTTGAAATTTAGTAAACAAAACCCACAAAAGAGATGCAGTAAAAACAAACCTTCTTTGCCTTCTTATTCCTCCTCTTTATCATGAGTATTAGCTGGGAGAAGAGATAAATTGGGAGTGACCTTGTATTGAAGCGTGAAATTGACC